GGGTCGGGGGGGTTATTTCCTACATAATTTTGCTTTCCCAAATCCGTGTGGCATAAGAAAATTTGTGCTTCTTGTCAAGCTTTGAGCACTTGGCAAAGCTTTCTGGCACAGCCTGGGCACTTTTTTCTTGTTTCTCTTTTTGTGACACAGTCTGAGCATGGTTGTCATGAAATGTTGCGCGTCTGTGATGGTTTGTTAATGGTGGACATCAGATAAGAAGTGGTATCCAGCGAGGCAGCGGCTGACTCTTCCTCCCCCTGACAATCGCGCAAGGCCTATCGTCTTGGAGCCTGGGAAGAATCTTTCGACTTATGTGCTGCCGGGCGGCCATGCGAATGTTGTTTTCAAGGATCTTGGACCGCAGATCGGATGGAGGACCGTGTACTTCTGGGAGTACGTGGGCCCTCTCCTCATTTATCCCCTCTTCTATTTCTTCAAGGACAAGCTGTATCCGTGGTATGGTGGCCGTACAGTGACTCACCAGGCGCAGACGGCCGCGCTTGTCTATTTCTCCTTTCACTATGTCAAGAGGATTCTTGAGACCTTCTTTGTGCACAGATTTAGCAAGGCCACCATGCCTGTGTTTAATCTATTCAAGAATTGCGGGTATTACTGGGGGTTCGGGGCGTTCATAGCGTATTTTGTGAACCATCCACTGTACATGCCAGTTGGGGAGACGCAGATGATTTGCGGCTTTGCATTCGCAGTTGTGTGCCAACTGTCAAATCTGTACACGCACATCATTCTGAAGGGACTGCGGCCGGCAGACGGTGCGGGCGGATACCAGATCCCAAGGGGTTTTCTTTTCAATTACATAACTTGTGCAAATTACACAACAGAGATTGGCGGGTGGTTGGGATTCAACATCGCAACTCAGACGCTTGCTGGTTATCTCTTCCTGCTGGCGGGAACTTATCAGATGGCACTCTGGGCTCTCGCCAGGCATAAGCGCCTTCTGAAGGTTTGTCTCTATTGCCCAATGTTTGTGGCTGTGCTTTCTTTTCGTCCTTGTCATTCAAACGTTTTCGAGCAGATATCCATTTTTTTGGTGGAAAAAGCAAAGTTGTCCAGTGTCTGCAGGTGCCCGTGTGTGTTTGTGTGTGTGTGGAGAGAGAGAGAGAGAGAGAGAGAGAGAGAGAGAGAGA